TTGATTTGAAATGGCTGAGACATAGATTCCAAGGCAAAATAACCTCAGCTGCGTAATGGACATGCTGACAGAGCCTTTAACTAGGATGTTGTTCTCCACCTTAGCAAGCAGCAATTGTAATTATAGGTCAGGAAGGAGAGCTGTATTTCATATGATTAGAACCTGTTTGCATTTCTCCTGGCTAGAAAACAGAAAGAGAGAGAGAGGGAGAGGGAGAGAGAGGAAGTACAGGGCATATGGGAGTTTAAACGTCTATTCTATGCCAGGGGGGAGGTTCAATGCTGTGAGAAAACAATCTTGTGAGAATGAAGTTTTGCCGTTTTTGGAAATGTATATGAGGTGTGTTTGTGTGTGGATACCAGAAGAGTGGTGGCGGTGACTTGCAGCACTAGCAGTACACTTAGAAAAATCACAGATATTTATTAAAGTTTTCAGGCACAAGAGTCGGGGAGGGGCAGGCAAACCTGCATTCTCTTCAGAGCAATCCTCGGGATGGGGTGTGGGGGTTACATGCTTGTGCTGTTTCGGGTGAGAGGCAAAAATCGGCAGAGCAACTGTAATTTTGCCTTTGTATAGTAGGCAAGTTTCTACACACACATTTTATTTTTTGCACAGTACAAGGTTTGCTGCTCAGCCCTCATCACAGTACAAGGTTTGCTGCTCAGCCCAGGAAAGGTGAGGTGCAACACAGCTACAGCAGCAGTGCTGGGTTGAAGGCAGCTGCCAAACATGCCATTGATGATGCCAGGCCTGGTTATTCAGTTGGGGGGGGGCACAGGGAGAAAACTGATTGGAATATGATAGGGAAATGAAGTAGTTGCAGGAATAGCACAGGCTCCATTTTAACTTTTACTGTTATTGATTCAAACTTGAATTATGCAAAAAAAACCAAAACCATCCTGCTTTAAAACTGTGTTGTTTTAAACAAACACATGTTTAAAGGAAGAGGTAAGCATACTTCTCCACAAAAATTCAATATAGATCTCCACAGCTGCCCACTAAACACCACAAGATAAATAAGGAATTGGATTATGCCACTTAGGCCTTTGTTTATTTTTCAAACAATAATGCACAAACGAACTCTAAATGTGGGCCCCTTGAGGTCTTGGACCCATAGGCCTTACTTTCTGAGGTAAACATTATTCTTGAGTGTATTAAGGTACATGGCAAAATATTACACAAGCAACAAATAGGATGAAAACAGCCATTGTGTGCCTGCATTTGCTTGCATTCTGGTCAAAGGAGTACCACAACACGAACCTTTATTCCTGCTCTAAGCAACAGTCAAAAGTTAACAGCCATTTCTGAATTAGATGTCTCTTCAGGTTGAGAGGAATTGCTTCCTGCAGCAGAAATATGAGTATTACTTCTAAGCACAGTGGCGCCCCGCAAGACGAATGCCTCGCAAGACGAAAAACTCGCTAGACGAAAGGGTTTTGCGTTTTTTGAGCTGCTTCGCAAGACAAATTTCCCTATGGGCTTGCTTCGCAAGACGAAAAACGAAAACGTCTTGCAAGTTTGTTTCCTTTTTCTTAACACCGTTAATACAGTTGCGACTTGACTTCGAGGAGCAACTCATAGAACGCGGTGTGGTAGCCTTTGTTGTGGTTTTTGAAGACTTTGGTGTGTTTTGAAGCTTTTCCAAAACTTCTTTTGCAGCCATTTGGTAAGTTAAACTTTTAAAACTTTTTGGGGGGGTTTTGGATTTTGGTTTGGGGTGTTTGGAATTCAAGGACTTGGTGTTGGGGAGGGGTTTGCAAGAATCTGGGAGCTTGTGTGTGTGTTTTCTGCAATTTTATGATTTTCTGTGACCATTGGGCCACTCTGCTGTTTTTTTAAAAAAAATTCTGGATTTGAATTTCTGTGTGGTGGGTGGCTGGGGGAACAGTTGAGGAGGGGTTTGCAAGAATCTGGAAGCTTGTGTGGTTTTTTCCTGCATTTTTATGATTTTCTGTGACCATTGGGCCACTCTGCTGTTTTTTTAAAAAAAAATTCTGGATTTGAATTTCTGTGTGGTGGGTGGCTGGGGGAACAGTTGAGGACGGGGTTCTTCAGCAAGAAGCAAAGAGTGGAAGAGGAACCTTCTTCGAGTTGTCCCCCCAGAGTCTTAGAAAATGTACTGTACACTTTGTTGATTTTTAAATGTTTTTCTGTCATGTTTAGAAACTTAATTTATTGTTCCTTCAATTTTTGAAATGCTCTTTACAGTATGTGTGACTTTAAAGAGCACTTAATAAACTCTTGTTGTACCAAATTTGGCTTTGTTTGGACTTTTTTTGACCATAGGAACGCATTAATTGAATTTCAATGCATTCCTATGGGATTTCGTGCTTTGCAAGACGAAAAATTCGCTAGACGAAAAAACTCGCGGAACGAATTAATTTCGTCTTGCAAGGCACCACTGCACTTGGGTTGTGCAGTACTTTATAAAGCCACATCTTCTTCCTTATATGGTTTGACTCACAACAGGCTCATCTGAGTTACTCCACAGAAAATTGGAAGAGGCATTGGTGGCCATACACATCTGAACAAGGGACTGAGTTTGTGATTTAATGTGTGCTATATGGCATTTAATTTACTTCCTGTTGTAGTAGAGAGAATTTTGCTACCCACCCTGTACCCCTCAGGTATGGCACAGTTCCCACTAGCTTAAACAAATAATTAAGAAACGTGAATAAGAACCTGACAGGACTAGCCAGACTGTTAGGCCAAGTAAGGTGGTCACCTCAGGCAGCCAACGTTGTAGCGCTTTTTTGGCAAAATCGCAAATTGCCATTTTTGAGCTATTTTTATGGGCTGCCATAAACAAATACACCCAGGCCACTAAGCCAGCCTGCTGACATCTGCTGAATATACATGTGGGCAGAAGGCCCACTAGTGGTATCCCTGCTTGCAGAAAGCCCAGGATTCCTTGGATCCCAGACTGTCTGTGCTCACACCTGAGGCTGGCCTGCATTGGGCTCAATCTGCCTGCCCCCCCCCCATCCATCATGAACGTCTGGGCTGCCAATATGGTGGGTCTGGCACACCCTTGAGTGCCAGCAGCAGTACTCTGTTAGGATTGCTCTTGCTGGAGATGCCTGTCTATTCTGGTGTGAGTAAACTGTAGATGAACGCAGATCATCATAGCTTATCAAAGAACACCCCCCTCGGTCCATGGTGGTGCTTGTTTTAAAAAAGCAACAACCACCAATTCTGTTGTTTATGAATAGGAAAAAAAGAAAGGGAAACATTTGTTTTTATTTGCCTCAAAAAATAGGAGGAGGTAAGAGGCGCAATAGAGAAAACTATGGATGAAAAAAGGAATCTTGCGCAGTTACGTGAGATACACTAGCGACTAGCTTTATATGTCTTTATATTGTTATTTCTAATATTAGTTTGCTGTTTCTCCATGAAAGCTGATTTATTTGAAATGTTATTACTTGAGAAACACCCTAATCTTTTTGTAATAATTCATATACTGGAGATTACAGTTTTGGAAGGCAGCCCAGCTCTGGCTCCAATCCTATTTATGGATTAAAGGATTTGAACAGCCTTGCAAGCTAGATCTCCAATAGCAAGGATAATGTAAACCTGGTTCCATATAAAATGCTTTTCCTCTGCAATCGTAACCCCATTAAAGGCAGATTGTTGGAGAGCGCTGGACAAGAGGCCTTTTTCATTACAGCAGAAAAGGGATATCTTCAGCCCGCAAAGAGCAGGATTTTTCAGAGCCCTTATTAGGATCCCTCTCAGCCTTCTTTTGTGGTTAGCCATGGACCTGGAAGGCCATCAAGAGAACTAATTACAGAAGCTTTGTGGCAAATTCTGAAAAATCTTTTGTGTATCTTACCCCCAGGAAAAACAAAACAAAATGCCAATTGTTCCTTTGGGGAATCCCTAACAAGGAAAAATACCTTCTCAAACTGCATTTATTTTGAGCACTTGCCAGGAGATTGCAAAGGTGCAATATACTTTTGAAGATTTAGATTCTTCTAGTTAACTTCTGCACCAGGATTGTTTTCTGCTAAGATCAGTTCAAGATGCTGATTTTATAATATGAAACCAGGTCAGTGGTAGAACATCTGCTTTGCATTCAGAAGGCCCGAGGCTCAATCCTTGGCATCTACAAGCCGGGCTGGGAAAAATTTCCTATCTGGAACTTTGGAAATCCCCTGCCAGTCAGTGCAGACATACTGAGCTATATTGACCAGTAGTCTGACTCAGTATAAGGCAGCTTCCTATGTTCATATGAATCCGTGTTTCTGACACCAAGTGCAACTTTTGAAAGCCAGTGTGCTGTACTGGTTAGAGTGCTGGAGAAGGACTGGGGAAACCAGGGTTCAAATCCTCATTCATCCATGAAGTATACTGAGTAACCTTGAGCCAGTCACTATTTCTCAGCATAACCTACTTCACAGGACTGTTGTGAGGCAGAAATGGGGGAGAGGTGTTCATATCACCTTGAGCTTCTTGGAGAAAAAGGGGGGTATAAATGCAAAAAATGTAATGGTAAAAGCTTTGGCCCTGCATATGTTGGAGCCCATCTCCTTGACTCTTTTGCTGTCTTCCATTATAATTAGGCCAAGAAAATCTTCATAATGATGATTTCATCTTCGTGTCAAGCCTGCATAATGAGATTACACAGGAAGGTCCTGTTGCAGGTAATTGAGGGATTCTCTTTCTCTGAATACTCACCAAGTGCAATTGTTTCCTGGAAAATCTGTATTTTCTTGTTTGGGTTGAAGCTGGTGGTGGGAAACTATAAGATATATTCATGTTGTTGCCACCTAGTAGCCAAAGGGCAGATTTGTTTATTCTGAAAAGTTTAAGACAGAGCATACTTCAGGGCTCAAGCTGTTTTCTGAGATGGATGCCAGGCTGAGTCGTGTGTGAACAGAGGACAAAATAAAACCGCTCTGCCGTGAGTTTGTGGGGAGGACCGCTCCCCCCTGAAGCCCTTTTTCCACCTTGGGCCTGGGGGCGGGCCCCATACCCCACCACAGCATATAAGGCTCCAAGGAGGCCCGGGACATTGCTGCTGTTGCTTTGCCGGTGAGTCTTGGGGAGGACCGCTCCCCCTTGAAGCCCTTTTTCCATCTTGGGCCGGGGGGCGGGCCCCATACTCCACCTCAGCATATAAGGCTCCAAGGAGGCCTCGGGACATTGCTGCTGCCGCTCTGCCGTGAGTTTGTGGGGAGGACCGCTCCCCCCTGAAGCCCTTTTTCCACCTTGGGCCTGGGGGCGGGCCCCATACTCCACCACAGCATATAAGGCTCCAAGGAGGCCTCGGGACATCGCTGCTGCCGCTCTGCCGTGAGTCTTGGGGAGGACCGCTCCCCCCTGAAGCCCTTTTTCCACCTTGGGCCTGGGGGCGGGCCCCATACTCCACCACAGCATATAAGGCTCCAAGGAGGCCTCGGGACATCGCTGCTGCCGCTCTGCCTATGAGTCTTGGGGAGGACCGCTCCCACTTGAAGCCCATTTTCCACATTGGGTATGGGGCGGGCCCCATACTCGCCTCCGCAGCTTATGGGGCTCCAGGGAGGCCTCGGGTGTGTGGGGTGGGGTGGGTGTTTAGTTGGGTGTGGGAATTTGTTTAATTTAATTATGTTGTGTTTGTAACTTTGTTTTTTGTTTTTATAGTTTTATTGTTCTGTTAGTTTGTTTTTGTATAGGCTTTAATTTGATTTTAAGGGAGGGGTCAGGGCTGCCTGGGAGTGGGTCCCAGCAAACAAAATGGCTGGGGCAGGTTCCACAGGGGGGGATGCACTCGGACAACCGATCTCAGTGATCACGGGTAGGAGGAGGAGTTACGCTAAGACCAGACCATGTCATTACCGAGGAAGCAGGCTTAGTCGTTGTTTGAGGACTATCCCTGCCTCCAGGTCTGGTCCTGACCGGAAGGATACTGGAATCAACAAGGGAAACCCACATGACCTGAAAGTGTTGCTGTGCAATGCCAGGTCAATGATGAATAAACCTCTGCCATCCACGACCTGATTGTGGATGGAGGATTTGACCTGGCATGTGTGACAGAGACCTGGTTGGATGAAGCAGATGGGCCCGTCCTTGCCGCTGCTTGTCCACCAGGTTTCTCTTACGCACAGCAACCCAGGCCTTGTGGGCAGGGAGGGGGGGTTGCAGTGATTTTTAGGAAGTCATTAGTTTGCACCAGGCGTCCTATTGGAAAGACCCAGTTCTCTGAGTGCATGTTCTGGAAGTTGGGCAATAGGGGCAGTACAGGATTCCTATTGGTGTACCGACCTCCCCGCTGCACCAAGGATTCCCTGCCCGAGCTGCTTCAGGTCGTGGCGGATGTCCTCCTGGAGACACCTAGTTTGGTTGTCCTAGGGGACTTTAACATCCATGCCGACACGACCTTACAAGGGGCCGCTCGGGACTTCGTGGAAAGCATGGCCTCCATGGGGCTGTCCCTGAATAAGTCTGGCCCAACTCATAGCCACGGGCATGCCTTAGACCTGGTGTTCACCTCTATGGATGTTGGTGATCTGACATTAAGTAAAAGCGAAACCAAAGAAGTGCCATGGTCAGATCACTTCCTGGTGCAACTGGACTTCTCCGTGACCCTTCCTCTGCAGGGAGGCGGGACCGATTCAGATGGTCCGCCCCGCCACTTAATGGATCCAAATGGTTTCCAGAGAGTGGTAGGGGATGTTTTATCCCATGTTGATGGCCTTTCAGCTGATTCCCTGGTGGCCCGCTGGAATGTGGAGTTAACCAGGGCTATTGACTGTTTGGCTCCAAAGCGCCCTCTCCGATTGCATGGAGTCCGGACAGCCCCGTGGTTTTCCACGGATCTGAGGGCAATGAAACAATCGTTGAGACGGCTAGAGCGCCGGTGGCGGATAACCCATTCTGAATCTGACCGGACACGGGTTAGAGCTCAATGTCGAGCCTACCAAGTGGCGATAGCGACGGCGAAGAAGACTTTCTTCACCGCCTCTATTGCATCTGCGGAAAACAGCAGCAGGAGACTCTTTCAGGTGGTTCGCAATTTAGCGGAACCACCTGCTCCATCAGGGCCCAGTAGCGGCCACATGATCTCCTGCAATGACTTTGCAAAGTCATTGCAGATAAAGTCGCTCAGATTCGAGAAGAGGTAGACTCCACCGTGGGAGCAGGGCCGGGCGGGAGAGTGCTAGAGTCCTGTCTAGTCAAGTTGTGTGGGATCAATTCCAATCTGCTACCCCGAGGATGTGGACAGGCTGCTTGGACGAGTGAAACCAACCACTTGCCTCCTTGATCCTTGCCCATCCTGGCTTATAAAAGCTAGCCGGGAAGGACTGGGCGATGGGGTGGTGAATGCTTCCCTCCGTGAGGGAGCCTTCCCAGACCCGCTGAAAGAGGCGGTTATTAAACCGCTTCTTAAAAGACCATCTTTAGATGCGGCCACAATAGCCAACTATCGCCCAGTCTCAAATCTTCCATTCTTGGGCAAGGTGATTGAGCGAGTGGTTGCTGAACAACTCCAGGCACGCCTGGAAGAAGCGGACCATTTGGATCCCTTCCAGTCGGGATTCAGGCCTCATCATGGGACTGAAACTGCCTTGGTCGCACTGGTTGATGATCTCCGGCGGGCTAGGGACAAAGGTGAGAGCTGTTTCCTAGTTCTGCTGGATCTCTCAGCGGCGTTTGATACCATCGACCATAACATCCTTCTGGACCGTCTTGAGGGGCTGGGAGCTGGGGGCACTGTTATACAGTGGTTCCGCTCCTTCCTCCTGGGCCGTGTTCAGAAAGTGGTGGTGGGGATGAGTGTTCAGACCCCTGGGCCCTCACTTGTGGGGTGCCTCAGGGTTCTGTCCTCTCCCCCATGCTTTTCAACATCTACATGAAGCCGCTGGGAGAGATCATCAGGGGATTTGGGCTGGGTGTTCATCAGTATGCAGATGATACCCAGCTCTACCTCTCTTTCAAATCAGAACCAGTGAAGGCAGTGAAGGTCCTGTGTGAGTGCCTGGAGGCGGTTGGAGGTTGGATGGCGGCTAACAGATTGAGGTTGAATCCTGACAAGACAGAAGTACTGTTTTGGGGGGACAGGAGGCGGGCAGGTGTGGAGGATTCCCTGGTCCTGAATGGGGTAACTGTGCCCCTGAAGGACCAGGTGCGCAGCCTGGGAGTCATTTTGGACTCACAGCTGTCCATGGAGGCACAGGTCAAATCTGTGTCCAGGGCAGCTGTTTACCAGCTCCATCTGGTACGCAGGCTGAGACCCTATCTGCCTGCGGACTGCCTCGCCAGAGTGGTGCATGCTCTGGTTATCTCCCGCTTGGATTACTGCAATGCGCTCTACGTGGGGCTACCTTTGAAGGTGACCCGGAAACTACAACTAATCCAGAACGCGGCAGCTAGACTGGTGACTGGGAGCGGCCGCAGAGACCACATAACACCGGTCTTGAAAGACCTACATTGGCTCCCAGTACGTTTCCGAGCACAATTCAAAGTGTTGGTGCTGACCTTTAAAGCCCTAAACGGCCTTGGTCCAGTATATCTGAAGGAGCGTCTCCACCCCCATCGTTCTACCCGGACACTGAGGTCCAGCACTGAGGGCCTTCTGGCGGTTCCCTCACTGCGAGAAGCCAAGTTACAGGGAACCAGGCAGAGGGCCTTCTCGGTAGTGGCGCCTTCCCTGTGGAACACCCTCCCACCAGATGTCAAAGAGAACAACAACTACCAGGCTTTTAGAAGACATCTGAAGGCAGCCCTGTTTCGGGAAGCTTTTAATGTTTGATGTATTATAGTATTTTAATATTCTTTTGGAAGCCGCCCAGAGTGGCCGGGGAAGCCCAGCCAGATGGGCGGGGTATAAATAATAAATAATTATTATTATTATTATTATAAGTTGTCATACTGTTACAGTTATCAAATTGCTGGTATAGCCTCCATATGTTATACGAGTGCCGCTCAAAGGGGGCACTGTGCCTTTTACATTTCAAGAATGCAGTAGGTAGAAGCAAAAAGACAATAGGTACAATATTCTCTGGCACTTTGATACAGTGATAGAGAATGCTGCATCTGTAAAATTTCTGCCTGCTGTGAAGGCACAGAGTTTCTGCCAGGAAAAAAGATGCTAGAATGACCGAGACTGATGCTATACATTTCAAAACATTTGACCATCTGTTGATGACATCCAGTTTGGTTTCTTGTTATGATAGAATAGTGTGCCTGTGTGGGTGCAATCATGTGAGTGATAAGCATGCATGTGTTCTCAAACACAAATGTTCCTTTGTCCCCCTATCCTGAGTGGCTACATGCACAAGGATTAATGTTTCCATCTAATAAATTAATGTTGGTGATTGTTCTTAGAAATCTCTTCGGCTAATAAACAAAATCATTGGCAGTAGGTGAGTGCATGGAGAGCGGGAAGGAATTAAGAACTGCAGCATCTGCTTTTGGTCCTGAACTTCATGTATTAATATGCAAGCTCCATACAGACAATCAGATGACTGTGCAGGCATCAAGACCCTGGGAGAACAGAGACAATCCCCATCCCTCACCATTCACAAGCTCACTAACTATCCCAGTGTTGTGCTACACCTGTTAACCACATGTATAGTGGGAGGAGGGAGCAAGACCATGCCAACTGGCCCTGCTTCTGATATCACATTCCCTGCTGGACACTAGCACTGTGATATCTCTGTTTCAGAGAACATATGTAAAGAACCTATGTGCATAAAGGTGCACATGTCACACTTCTTTTTATAATATTCCGTAAAATGTGTGGATGTTGGAGGGCAGGACCAGCAAGTGTGGTCTCATTTTCTCCTCTGTGCAGCATAAAGATATGGAGGGGGCACCAACTGAATAGGATTGAAAGGCAACAGCAACTCTTGCAAATTTTTGGCCCATAAAATGTGTCCAGGATTAGAAGGGTCTAAGGTGCATATGCTCCTCGCAACAAATACAAGGCTGTGGGATAGACTTTGACAGAGGGAATGCTTTATTCAGGCAAAACTAGAAAAGAAATTACAGAAAGTCAAGAATAATTATGGGTCCTCCAGCAGCCAAGAAATGTTGGCATATTTTATTAAGCTCCCATATGGTGTAAAAATCTGTCTGTAAATAGAAGGTTGTGGGTTACTGTTTAAATAAAGAGGAGGGATGCTAAGACACCAGTTAAAGTTTTAAATTTCAGCTTTGTAATTTCAGCTTCTGCAAGTAGGCTACAGCCTTTCAATCTATACCTCTGTAGAGAGGATATGACAGGGCCCCTGTTATTTGAATTGTGATCATTCAAACGTTATGATGGAAAGAATCACTGACTAGGTTCCAAAACACCATGTATTTTGCATGCAGAAGCTTTTCCACTCTCTGCTGCAGTGGCAGATCCTGCACTTTTTCCAACCAAGCCCCTGAAAGGTTGGGGCACCATGGGGCAAAAGTCGCTTTCACTGGACAGCACAAATAAGCTACCACCATTACTCAGTATCTGCACTGA